GGAGCCCCCAGCCAAGGAGCAGGGTTTAAACAAGGCCAAGAAAGGAAAGAAGCCAGTCGAAGAGGAGGAAGATGAGGAGGAAGTGAAGGCCCATAGGAAAAAGAAACATGCGGAGTGTGACACTCAGGAGCCCTTAGCCAGCTCTAAGCGAGAAAGGATGCAGGCCAAGAATCAGAATGGAGAGGAAGCACAGAGCGACAGTGAGGAAGAGGTCATGGAGGAACCCGAGGCCACAGGAAGCTACCCAAATAAGGATGGTCAGGATCAGGACTCATATGGTGTGCAATTGAGGGCTTATATATACTTACATCTTTATATAATGAATTGAAATATTAATTCGTCTGGGGCATGAGACACACAAATAGGTGCACATACAAAGAAGGGGGGGGTATATATGTCCTTATACTACATATACATACATAGATATACACATGTGCGTGTATATATATATATATGGGGATTGCTCGTGGGGCATTGCTTGGAGGGGGGGGGAGGGCTTGATCTGTCTTAAGTCATGCAGTGGCATAGTATGTACAAAGCAAACTAGCTGGTGGTTTCCATTTATGATGTACTGGGTTTCAATTAGGGGGTGGGGAGCTTCATATCTATATATTTTTATATATGTATGCATAGATAGGCGTATATTGAAAAAATAGTGGAATTTAAGTCACATTCCCTCTCAGGTGCAACGCGGCTGGGATCGAGATGTATGTACTCGGATGTAAGTATAAGATGTTGCGGTATATATAGGTTTATAAGGTTTATATATGGTATATATATATATACGATTTCTTCGGTTTAGGGTGCATGGGGATCGTTATGTTGTGTTTGACATTGTAGAGATTCAAATAGATGATGGGCCATGCAGGGCCATATATTGGGTTTATATGGGATTTAGTATGTTTATATATATAGCATATATATACATATATATATATAGTATATATGCAGGCCTTTTATATATATAACTACATATATACATATATAAGGATGTGTGTGCATGTGTCTATACCCTGAGAGAATTCAGCCAGGAAGCTCGACCCTGAAATATTTCACGTGTGTGGAAACATGCACATAAATAAATATACATACATATAAAGTAAATAAGTAAATGAGTATATGTACATATATAAGCCCTGATCAAAGCCTGAACCCTGGAAACCTCTCTCTATGCAGGACTCGATCTCCGATGCTGAGTACAGTCCTGTGGTTCGACATGCGAAGGAAAGCCCCGAGGCAATGGAGGAGGAGTCCGAGGTAGAAGTTTCATCGGAAGCTGAGATGGTGCTTAGGAAGCCTGCAGGCAGGGGGCAGGCCAAAGCGAAGGCAAAAGCGAAAGCAAAGGCAAAGGCCAAAGCCAACTCAGGTCGTGGACGGGGCAGGGGCAGGGGACGAGGACGCGGGCGGGTGAAGATCATGGCAGAGTGCGATGATGAGCCGATTCCGAAGGCGCCTTCGTTTGCGAGACGCCCGAAGCCACTTACGATGCCGAGTGCAACAAAGTGGCTGGCTGTTACACAAGTTTTCCATGCCAAAATTGGCCAACGGCTGAGAGATCAGGGTAAGCCTACGTACTGCTGGGAGGACAGACTGATCCATTCATGGGTGGTTGAATAGGTGACATGGAACGTTTAACATTGTTCTAGTGAATTCTGAGTTCTATACAAGACCTTGCATGTACCTTCAAAGCCCAAATTCCATGAATCAATGTCATTAAAGTGCTTCAAGACTGACATGCAGGAGCCATGGTGGAACATTGCGGCCCGGACCTTCGCTGAGCAGGACCCGCCGCCGGATGTGCAGAATGTGGAGGCTTACAAGAGCATGCTGATGAAGCAAGCGTGTGCCGGGATTTCTCAGGATGGTAGAAGACTCGCCTGTGTAAAGCCTGGGATTCATCCATGCCAAGGGTGCTGAACTATAAGCCTCTCTGTGGGTGTAAAAGCTGGTACTATATAGGATTGTGTGTACATGTGTCTATATATATCTGTAGTTATATATGTATTCACATATATAACTAGAAAGTGTGTATTTGTGTGCATCTCTATATATATATATGAATATACATATAGATGTACAGAGAAATGTGTGTGTATATAGTTTCTAGAGATATATAAACATCTGTGTGTAGCTGTATAAACAATATAAACCCATTTCCCATGTAATCCTCAGCCACTCCTTTACACATATGGCAAATACATTATACATAATATGTGGGGTTGATATATACATATATATGTGTGTACATATATTATCATATTATAGGCTTTGTTAAGATGCGCTTTACATAAGAAATATGTATCCAGTTGTTTAAGTTATGTATATATATATAGTCATGTGCTATATTCATGTCAGAGTCAGGTTTTATAGTTGTTGCGGCGCTTGTGGCTTTATATATAGACAGCTGTATATGGGTTTATATATATATACACTATATACATATATAGGGTTATATACAAATTTCGGTATGGAGTATAGATATATAGCACAAATTGAGCTGCGCTCATATGTTCCTTTCTGGGCTCAGTTTTGGTATGGATGGACACCAGATTGGGCAAAGCAGTCGCAGCCAGTGTTTTGGACTAGTCGCTGAGAACCCTGCATGGCTCATAAAAGTTTCAACTGGGTTTTGTACACCTTTCCAGGGGTCTATAGAGCTGCATGTGTCTATACATATATATATATACCCCGAAGTGGTTCCAATCGTACTCTATGCAACTGCTATTGGCAACTATAAGTTGGGCTGCAGGGCCTACAGCAGGGTTTGCGCAGCCATGCGTGGTAGCAAGTGCGGTTGAGTGGGCACAGGCTGTGTGTGTGAGAGCACACATGGCGGGTTTGTGCTTCTCAGCCATCTGACCACTACAGCTCCGCAGTGTGCGCAACTGAAAAATGATGTTTGATTGCTGCACTGTGTTTCTACAGTGCCGTGCCTGCAGGAGTGCATGCAAAATTGCAGGGCCACGCGCAGAGTCATGAAGCACTTAAAATTCTTTACCAGTACATGAATGGAGCCCTCTTACGTTCCTCGGATCATGCAATCTCGGAAATCCTTGCGTGAAGTGGTTGAAACTTCTCTGCCTGCAGGTGGACCATGGATGCCGCGCGTGAGCATCAACCTTGCGAAGTTCGGAATTGGACCATCGACCCCATCGACATCCAGTGCCCTCCCCCTGTCTCAGTCTATAGCTTATTGGCATGCATGTGTGCACATCCAGACATGCAAATACATCTTGCGTGATTGGGACGCGCTGTGCATGATTCTTCTGCTGGCCACAACAGCCTTGTGAGCATGCGTTGCTCTGCCTCATTTTCATGTTAGTGTTCAATTAATGGGTCTCGACCTATAGCATTATTAATCCAAATAGTTCCTCGAAAGATTTATAGAGGCCCTCCATCCAGCTAGTGTAACAAAAGCTCCACTCAGGCAAGTGTTATCATGCATGACGTTCCTGCATGGCATGCAGCCACAGAAGGATTGTCAACTTTACTGCTAGAAGCCATGACTCCGGACCAAGTTGAACTTCTCCTCCGGCGCATGTTTGCCTTAGGTGCTCCGAAGGCTTGTTATTACTTTGGCTGGGAAGGTTTCGAGAGTTGAGCATTATATGTATGTATGCCTCCTGTGATCCATCTATAGAAGCTCTTTAAAGCCTTTTGGGGAATTCCAGGGTGTCCTATATAACTTGGCGATCCTATAGAGGCGTTACATATAGTTCGTGTAAGTGAAAGGGGCCCACACAAGCAACTGTTGTTAATTGTTCTGGGTGATTCAACTGTTGTATTTCAGTATATATATGCATGCAGGCGCTAAAGAGCCTTTCAGGTCTTTAAGGTGTATTATAGTGGACAGGAAACTATACAAAGAATGCACCTTTTTTGTTTATGGACTTGATGTAATTATGCTGCGAATGTGTCATTCATTCTTTCATGGGCTATACAGGAATTAGACCTTGACTTGTAGAAGGTATCATTGGAATCATGTGTAATAGATCAAGCAGCTGTATAGGTAGGTGCCAAAAAAAGACGTACGTGGGCAGTCTAAAGTGAACACACCCATGCAAAGTTCCTGCGTCCCCTTATCATTATTTTCAAAGTCAACCAGACTTGGCTGGAAGTATAGGCTGGGATTATATTGGGCGAGACTGTAGAATCTGTCTCTATACAAGGGAAGGCATGGGTCCTGTTTCCAGGGAAATACAAGCTCTGTAGGATGGACTGGTTCATCAGTTTTCATGACTTCAGCAGCTTGTGTTCGGGAAGGTGGGAATGTAGATTACCCCAGGTAAGGCATTCTGCTGTACCCCAAGTATGAGGCCACTCAACCGTTGTGCATAGATAGGAAAGACGGGTATATATATATATGGGGTATACATATATACCTGTATATTTGGTGTGCAATCTGGCATGAAGCAAAATCAACGGGCCCTCAGAATTGTATGTTCATTCGGCAATATATGGTTCCCGCACACATAGGCATGTATTATGGACCTTTTGGTGCATGGTTGCTAGTGATTGAAACTTTATGGGATGGATTCCAGCAAGTACTCTCTGTTGACTGCTAGTATAGTAGAATATATATAAGACAATAATTGTAAGCAGCAGTCAAGATAATGGCAAGTGTAATCGTGCACGCCATGCTATGTAAAACCCCTTCATGTTTCTCATAATTGTGGGCTAGGGTGTACATAGCTCCTCGCCTCAACAAATTGCCCTGATGGCCCCAAATTGTGCAGAGTTGCCTTCTCATCGAAGTATGGCACAACGTGCCCACAGCCTTGCCAAGACTTGTTTCCAGCAGGAGCCCCCGTATAGCCTTTAAGCACAATCAGTCTTGTTATAAATCAATGTCAATCTACTCGTATGACTTTTGGTATGGGAGCCCTATACACATTCAAATCCTGAAATTATGTAGACCACAGGAACCAAAACCTTAACCCAAACCAGTGTGTGCAACCCTTATGTATAATGCTTGTGCGCAGGCTGTGATCTTCTTGGTCATGCTGGTTCATTGGATGAACATCGGTCCGGATGCGAACTACCAATTCCTGGAGTTCTACAGTGGTTCTGGCAGGATTACGAAGTTGGCAGGTTTTGTTGGCTACGAGAGTGTGGCTTTTGATATTCAGTATGGGGAGTTGTTGGCGAACCAGCACATGAAACGATCGGCCATGGACATAAATAGCAACGCGGGGATGACGCTTCTAGACTGGACTAATCAAAGCTCTTTCTTCATCAGGATGTATGGGTAGAAGTGCATCTATGTATAGTTGTTGAGCGATCGCAAATGAATCGTTTTCAATTGTTGAAGCAGGGGAGCAGGATGTTCAACACGCTGAGTGTATACACTGTTTGTTTTTGGGTTGAGGGTGGGAATCGTTATGAAATTGTAGAAGCCTGTACAATAACTAGCATATATAGTATATATATATATTATAATTGCAAATCTCCTGGTTTGTTGGTCTGGGTGGAACAATCTTCCTTCCATATATGAGCCCATATAAACCCTATATATGCGAATATAGACTGTATATTATATAGACCCTACATAATCTCTAGGTTGGGGGTGAATTCCGCCTGGCATGCATCTGGATTAGGATAGCAGTTTCACTGCTACTGCGAAGCAGACTGGATGAAGCTCTGGCGTGGTTTGCGTGCTGCTGCTCTTCATTTGTCCCTGCCAATCGTGGCACGAGCCAAAGAAGCTTTCTTACATGTATGGGATGCGAGGAGGTTCCTTCAGTAAGACGGGGCAGCAAGATGTTCAGCCGGACACTCGCATAGGGAATTACTAAAGCTTTCATATGTAAGGTTAGTTGGTGTAACTAGGCAATGCAGAGATGAGGGCTATAAATATGCATGTACCCATATACCTGTGCAGGAGCATCATTCTGATGGTCATTGCTATAGCGGCTGGAATGACAATTTGCCTCGAGAACCCCCAAAACAGCCTCATAGGCATGCACGAGAAGTTTATTTGGCTGGTCCGCCTCCTGATGCGCCACAACATTTCTGTTTCCCGGGGGCATATATAAAGTGTATAGTATGTCTGTTTGGACTGTGGGAACTACGTAATTTGTAGTGATAATTCTTCCTATTTATGTTTAACTGCTTGTAGATGAACCTCACGAAGTCGAACGCACCTGAGTTAGGTTTTTGCAGAAATGTAGTATACATCTATATATATATATGTCCTATACAATCAACCAGCCAAGATGTTCAAGTCGAGTTTTTGGATGAGGAAGCATGGTGGTGAGACATGGAAAAGGACTTGGTTATGGAGCCCCAGCCCCTCAATTGCTGCGCTAGACCTCGGACCTATGACGAAGGAAGAACGGACAACGGAGGTTGAAACAACAACCCGGTACTTAAAGAATGGCAAGGTGTGCTGGACTGGCAATTCAAACCTCCGCTCCACCCAGTTCTTCAGCAGCCTACATACAAGATTGTTAGTCACTTTCCCATTCTCTTTCTTCAGCGATGTTGCTCTACAACGAACCTTGTATAACCCAAAGTTAAACTAACTAAAGGATTAACTTCCCACTTCCCTGCATCCTGCATCCAAGGGTGTATCCCTTCATCTTTGCGCGGCACATTGTGGAGCTCATCCCAACAATGCTGAGAGGCCCTGTACCCATCTTCCACCAGCCATGTGCCAGCAGAGTAGAAGCAGATTCGGATGGATCGCCTTGGTAAGGGGTTAATTGGTTGCAAAGTGTTTGCACACGTTTTGGGGTTGATCCTGCGGATCGAGAACATTAGAATGGATTTCCGCTTTTTGTGGGGAAATGTGTTGATATGTAGTTTTGCATGTCTCGTGACTTATGGGTTGCAAGATTGGCTGTATATATATATATAATATATATAGGGCCTGCAGGGCTGCATGGTTTGGGTTTATATTGTTTTGGTAGTTCAGGGTTTTCTTTGGAACAGGGCTTCATTTTGGGGAATAAGCATTGCATCGTCTGCTTTCCTATCTTTTTAGTGGCCTATATAACTGTATGAACACAGACTTTTGGGATTTTTGTGGCCCTCAGTATGCAATGAGCCTATATATAAATTGTTGGTATACATATATAGTGCTCTCGAAGCAACTGCATGGCCTCAAACATGTTTTCTAGGTCATTCACTTTTTGTGTATACGAATGGGGTTATCTGGTTGTTGTCGGGTTGGACTTTGTACGGTGCAGTGGGGGCTTAAATTCTACTTCTACGAAGCTAAGCATGATCGAGGAGACCCTATATATAGACCCTTTTAAAATTACATGTAGAACGGTTATATATACAACCCCATACAGTTCACCTCCTCAAATCCTTTCATGTCAACCCAGGACTGATAAACCACTTCCTGGCTTGCTCACGGATCAACTTAAAAGGGTTTAAAATTGTGCATATAAGACGTATATATGGATGCCCTGGTTTATAAAGCTCTCCTATAACCCCCCCCAAATGCTGAAGGAAGGTTATAAATACAACACAGCTTTTATGATGAACAGCTTCCCAAGCATGGTCCAGCAAGGAGCCTCGGTCACCTCCACCATTTGTGTGAGTCTATATACTCCCAAAAAAAACAATCCTCAGTGCCAGCCCTTTAAAACCTTAATTCTACAAATCCTATACATAAAGCCTTATATACATATGATGAACAGCTTCCCAAGCATGGTCCAACAAGGAGCCTCAGTCACCTCCACCATTTGTGTGAGTCTACATACTCCCAAAAAAACAATCCTCAGTGCCAGCCCTTTAAAACCTTAATTCTACAAATCCTATACATATAAAGCCTTATATACATATATATACACACATGATATATACATATATACATATACCTTTCTATAGCACAATATATAAGCCCTCTCTAGATCAAAACTCTAAACCCTATAAACCCTAAACCCTATAAACCCTATAAACCCTATAAACCCTAAACATACCCCTTAACCACATGGCCGAGGTGTCCAACGCGCCACTCATCGACTTGTGGAACGAGTTGGACTTCGAAGACTGGGGATCCTGCAGTGACTTGAAGGATGTCCTAATATACCTAAGGGGTTCGAAGCGGTTGCGGATTCCACCTGAATGGCGGCCCCACTTGCCCCGGGAAATCTAAGCTGCATGCTGCCTGCAGAGCCATGCAATTAATTGAGTAAACTAAGTTAAGGCAGTGGCTGCACGCAAGCAAGAGCTACTTCAAGTGCATCACCTAGGGATCATACTCTGCTACACACCTAGATTGTACTTTCTAAAGGTGTATGTATTTTAGTTGTTTAGGCGAATAGTGTGTGGTTGTTCCATGTTCCATACAAGCCAAAGAAGGCCTGAAGCAAATCCCTAGTATGATGTACTGCTCGATCTTTGACACAGCAGGGTGCACAGGTGAGGTGCAGGGCAACCAAACCATGCTTCTTGATTTATATACATATATATGAATATATATCGTATATATATATGGTTTACTAGTTCATCTTTATATGTATTTACAGGTGTAGGTATATATATATATGTACATGCAAACCTTTAAATACATATATATATATTGCATGTATACTGTGTATATGTACGAATATATATATATGCCTTAAAAATATAACAGGCTAATGTATAAACAGGTCTGCACGTACATGTTCTATATACGTATACGTGTACACACTGTATACACTTTGGTACATCCTGGGCTCTTGGCTCAGCTGCTCTTCTGCTGTCTGCTCCTTTCATCTGCTGTTGCTGCTGGGTTGCTGCTGTGCTGCTCCCCTGCTCTTCTGCTTGTTGCTACTCTCTGCTGCTTCCTGCTGCTCTGCTTTGTGCTGCTCTGCTTTGTGCTGCTCTGCTTTGTGCTGCTCTGCTTTGTGCTGCTCTGCTTTGTGCTGCTCTGCTTTGTGCTGCTCTGCTGTGCTGCTCTGCTGTGCTGCTCTGCTGTGCTGCTCTGCTTTGTGCTGCTCTGCTTCCTGCTGCCTTGCCTAATGACGGCTTGCATGCTCTCTTATGGGCTACTCTGCTTGTGCATGTGTATATAATATGTATATATACATATATATACGTGTTGTACATATATATATATGTCTACAAATACATATATATATATAAGTATATATACATACATATATTTATGTAGAGCTGGAAGGCCTGCAGGATTATCATGAAGGCTAAATGTGGCTGGCAAGCAGAATAATAGACTTCAGGATAATCCTGAAGTCTATATGCATATATGTGAAAAAATGAAAGGCGGAAATGCCCGGGCGAAAGGCGGAAATGCCCGGGCGGGCTTCAAGATAGTTTCAGGAGGCCCTTTTAGCCAATATAGGCTTCAGGATAATCCTGAAGCCTTTGTGCTATATTCCAAGTTACGGGCAGCATAATATATATATAACATCCTAAACAATATTGGCTCCATGACTATCCTGAAGTCTATATATGTATATATATATATGTGTTTGTTTCACAGACACACACACACAGGTGGGAACACAAACATATACATATTAAATAATCGACTTCATGATAATCCTGAAGTCTATCGGGTAGGACACATTAAATACTTCATAATAGTCCTGAAGTCTATCAGGCAGGAACACAAACATACATATTAAATAATCGACTTCAGGATTGTCGTGAAGTCTATTGTAAATGTAGTTTTATATATGCCAGGGAACAGCACTGATAGACTTCAGGATAATCCTGAAGCCTATGTTGTTATGTATATATGTTTCAGGATTATATATCTCCACGTACATATACAATGGATGCATGTAACAACATATAGACTTCAGGAAGTATATATAGCGGTGCTATATATACTCAGATATATATATGTATATATATATACATGTATACATATATATATATACATATTTACATAAATGATATATATATAGACTTCAGCATTATATATCTCATGAAGTCTATATATATATATCATATTCATGTGTGGATATACACATAAATACAATGTTCCTCAATGTTAGACTTCATGAAAATCATGAAGTCCAATAATTAAGGTGTTATATATATATGTACAGATAATATAATGTCTGTGTATATATTTATATCACTTGGAATACAATAGATAGACTTCAGGATTATCCTGAAGCCTATCTGTCATAGCTAGCAGAGTCCGCCCGGCTGTTTCCGCCTTTTGCCTGGGCATTTCTGCTTTTTGACTGGGTATATAATGGTATATATATATAGATATATATATATTTATGTATATATATCTATATACATATTTCATATATATGAAATTATAGACTTCAGGATTATCCTGAAGTCTATCAGTGCTGTCCTCGTGTGCAGGACCTGAATTCGGGATATAATCCTGAAGTGCATAATGCGTAGCTGAATTGACTTCAGGATTATCATGAAGTCTATTGGTGCGTTGAATGTGTGGTGCACCTGCAGCACAGATAGACTTCAGGATAATCATGAAGTCTATGTGTAAGTTTAGCATTATATGTATATATATATATCTCTTGCATATATAAATATATATATATATTCATGCATGCATGCATGCACATAATATCCTTGCAGGTCTTCCAGGGTCTGTTTCTACATGAATATATATATATATACATGCATATACATATAAGTGTTTGTATGTGTAGTTATATATGTGTACACACACAGAAAAACAATATATATATGTACATATATGTATATATATATACCCAATTACAAGGGCTGCATGTACAAGACATGTACATAGTTGTGTATATGGGCTTGCCATATATATGTATACATGTATATATATATATGTATTTATATAATGGCGATATTACATATATAGATATATATATATACACATATATATGTACACATACATACATATATATGATTAGACGCATTTTTCGTGAAGAGTTGACATCTTCATGTATAAATATGTATATATATATATTTATACAGGTTTCAGTGGAAGCGGGTTGGTTGCCCCTGCACCTCAAATTCAGAAGCTGTGTCGGCCAAGCAAGGTCTGTGCATTCCTCCGGGCTCGTGTGTGTTCATACTGTTCTCTAAGAGAAAGGGGCCACCTAAAGCCATCCATGCTGAGTCTGTGCGGATGCTTCAATTCAGATTTCATGTGGGCGCGTCTCATAGTGAGATGCTGTGCTATCATTGGAAAACGAAACAACTTCCTATGGGCGAGCCAGGTGATTTCCACGGAGCCAATTAGTTGATCTAAATCTATACTCGAGAAACCTTTATATGTATACATACTTAAATATGTGTATATGGGGTTATACAATACATATATATTCCTCATGTTGCCTAATCAAGTCACTTTATAATTGCTCTGTGGCAATCACCTGGTATAGGTTCAGGCAATTTGCTGTAGAATGCTTCAACAATGTGCTGGAGCTTCTTAATTACGCTGCCTGCAAATGGCGCTTCTGAGCTTCACGACCTTGATTTGATTTGTACTGTATAGGCCCTTATATAGTATAGCCTTCGATCTGTTTAAACCTATATATAAACCTTATCAACCCTATCTAGCTCCTGCAATTGTCTATGTTCCTTCTTCTTTCGTGTTCCCTCTGTCTTTATAAGCTACAGATGGCTCTGCGCCGAGCTATGGAATCCAAGTGTCTCAGCGCAGAGACAATCAATGATGAACTGACAGTCCTGGGCAAACAGCTGTGGCTGACAGTCCCGGGTTCGGATGTGTCCGCTATGCGGGAGGAGATGAA